CCCTCTCCCCCAAGCTTCAAGGCTTGAAGTCTTTTTTTTTTTTTTTTTTCCAGCCTTTATAACTACCATGGTGCCATTCTGAATTACATGAGAGTAAATCAGTGTTGATAAAGATGAGAATGTGGCTGCACTAAATACTTTGTTTTAAAATGCAAGCTTAAAATGCTGTTTGGGGTCTCCCTAAGGTCTGAGATTTGCACATCTAGACTTTGTTCAACCCTGTTTCTAAACTACTCATTAATTTATACTCTGCTGGTAAAGTTTCAAAGCTGCTTCTGTTGCTCAGCTTGCTTCATTTGAAGGACAGCTGGAAAGCGTCTTTCACGCTTGCTCACAAACTGTATCCCATCACTGTCCCACTTCAAGCTGAGGTCCACTCTACTGAGTTCATGACCCCATAGCAAAAGGAAGTGAATTTTTGTTGTTTTGTGATCCTACTCATAAATGTACCAAACTCCCTTGGGGCTGCCAAGAGGAGGGACATGTCTTCTTACAGACTAATTAGCTCAAAATGGTCAAATGGCATGGATAGTAACTAATACTCATCATAAAAAGTAATAGAAGGTGAAAGGTAGAGCCATTGCTTAAACATATCTCAGCTGTTGTCTCACATATCCTCATCAGCATTTAACGAAGGTTTAAAAAAAAAAGTCAACTATTAAAATCATGTCAAAGTCGAGAACTGGTTTTAGCAAAATTATTACTCTCAAGGGAAAGTGTTTCCCCAAAATATCATTACATAAGCACCTATCACCATTGGGATGTGGTTTGTACAGCTTTGCTGGGAGGTGTTCTGAAGACCTAACACGGAAAGACAACGTCCCCTTTCCAGCACATGAAACAATTCTACTACGTACTTATTGATGATACTTAAGAAGATACTGCAGGAATTCAATGCCTAACTAGCTTCTAGTCTACATATGACTGAGAAAGTACCCTTTTTGCTGTGATTAATCATTATATATTATAGGCACCCAATATAAACCAGGCTGGAAGTACCCCAAAATCCCAAGTCACTACCAGGGCGATATTTCATATTTGAAATATAGAAGTGCAGAGAGTAGAAATGTGCAATATTGTTAAAATTTCTTTCTGCTTCATCATAACAGACTTTTCTTAAGAATTTAAAATAGGAAGCAGGAGGAAATAATTGTAAGCTATGAGATATTTGCTATATTTGTGCATCTTCTGAGTGGGCAGCGCTCCGAAGCAGTTTCTTTTCAATACTGGGACACATTCTACCTTCTCAAGCTCTTATGCAACTCCTGCAGATTTCAGTGCAATCTCCTCTCACATAATATCATAAAAAAACTGGTCCAGGCTGTGTCTAACACCAGTGTTGCTATTTTTTGAAAGGGACAGTAAGATTTTTCAGGCTGTGACTTTGCGTAACACAAAATAACATGAGATCTGGTGGGATGGCAATGAGCACACTTACATGGCCAATAAACACAAGCTTGTTATTGGATCATGCATAAGCAGCAAGGCAAAACACAGAAGTTACCAAAAAAAAAAAAAAAAAGTCAGCACTTACATGATGATGGTTTTCTTGGGCACTTTAGTCTCTTGTTCAGTGACTACAAAGAAAACAGTATGAACAGCATGGGGTTAAAAAAGGCAAAAGCTGAAATGATTAAATTAACTTTTTTTAGTTGATCAGAATAAACTTGAGCGAAAAAAACCACCTGTACCAACCCATCCATGCTTTCTGTGGTTACTTCCAGCATCATCTTTAGTGTTTCTGACCAAGAATGAGCATACAGCGTACTGCCTGAACAATGAATGATTTAAACCTGCAAAGGACTTTCTTTTGTGGGTATGAACATTGCAAATTCTGTTTTTTCTACCATGAGATCCTGACATTTTTGTTTGGAAGATCAAAGCTAGAGAACAAGGAGTTTTGTCTTTTCTTTTTTCTGTTATAAGACAGTGATGGCTTAAGAAACATTGCAATGGAAAATCCCAGAGAGCCGAAATTCTTTAAGCTGCAAAGCTTTTATCACAAAAAGAGTTGCCCCAAAATATTGAACAGTCAGTTTCCAGGCTTTTGCAGATTAGATGCAAAAATCATGCTGGTAACAATGAAAACTAAAATCTTGAGGTGTATCAAGAAAAAAAAAAAAAAAAAAAAAAAGGCAATGATTTTTCATATATATTTCTTAAAATGTGCATTTTAAAAATAAGAAAGGTAACATCTGAAGACTCAGTAGTTTCCCAGCCTAACTGCTGGCATAAAATTAAGACACCGTTTGAAATAGACTGTTTTGATAACATTTTGAAGGGCTGAATCTATTTGCGACCTAGAAAAAAAAAAACAATAGCATGACCCACTTTTTATTCAATTATAAATTAGTAAAGTTTCTAAAAAAATTGAATTTAATCCCAAAGTATTTTTTCAGCAATTGGTTTGCAATCTTCCAGACCGCCTTATAGAATAAATAAGTTCTGGTAATTTTTAGTTGGTACAATTAAAAGTGAACTGCAGCTTAAAAAAAAAAAGGAAGGAAGAAGAAATCTGTTTGCAGTCCCTAGTCATTCTCACTCTGATAAAATCCATGGGCATCAAAAAAGTAACATTTACCAAACTTGCTGTTGTGCAATTTCCATAAAATCGGAGTTTTTGCCAAGGGAACTTGCAGCATCTGTGTTTTCTCTGATATATCTTATGGTAACTGCTGATGTTTTCAGTATTGGCCAAAACCTGTACCGACTGCAAATTAAAATTGCACCTACAATATTAGGATTTGATCTCGTTTTACTTTCATTTAACTTCCAAGGGCTGTCTTAAGTAAAACTGGAAATCTCACCATGACTGAGAAGAATTTTGTGCAGATATTGATGTTAATATCTGACCTAGAGCTTTTAAGTTTTCTTTGCAAAGAAAACTTGCCTTATTTACGTATGTACAAATCTGGAACAACTCCAACAGTCTCAGGCGAGTTGCTCCAGAATTGCGTAGGTTTAAACAAAATAATTTGGGGAATTAGAGTTTATAGTTTATCAGGTAAGTAAAGGACAAGACTGTTTTCAAATGCTTGTCTGGGAATGCAAGTACAACACAGCCTTTTACCTATCTTTAGTTAATTACTTTGAAATAATTTAAAATATCTTTTTTAAATTATGAAATGAGTACTGTTCAATGATGGAAGATGAGCTGAGTGCTTGAATAGCTTAATGTACCCAAGCTAGAAATTTTCACTGAATTTTTAAACCTTTAAATCAACATTGTGTAATTTACACACAACATAGCTTTTAGAAAATCTCATCCAATAACGGGATTAATCCATAAGCAGCAAGAGAATCAGTTCTGGTGTAAATAGGGAATTAATTAATTTGACTACATACATCAACAAAGCTTTTTAGAGGGTTCTTTTAACAGCAGCTACATCTAGTTGAGGATTAAATATGCATATAATGAAATTCCTCAATGTCTGTAAGAGGCATTCTCTTGTACGCTTTGCTTTATTAATGTCTGTTCTTGCAGTCCGTCCAAATGACATCAATTGCAGTGTTTCCATATGTAGCAGCTATCAAAGGGATTCACTATGCACAAGTTCCGCGAGAAAGCTGTAAACGGCATAGAGTAGAGGCGTCCTGAGGACCTGCAGTTCAGTGCATGACGGATGGATTTTATATGTAGTATCCAGGGTATGAGAGAGGATTTAAGCAATCCTATGCCAAGGACAGAACCACACGAAAGTAGGATGAGAGAATCTGGGTTTCCTTCTTCGAGAGAAAAAAACCCTGCACCAGTTTTTGCACCGCATTTATCATTTCAACTTGTTTGGCAGCAGTTTAGGAAAACAGCTTTGCAAAGCAGCAGCTCCTGATAAGCAGGTTAAAAGCTGTAAGCATTAGGATCAGCCAGGGCTTCTATAGGACTAGTCTCCTCTTTGGTTAATGCGTTAAATCCTGGACTAACAAGCTATGAAACATTTTCGGGTAAATCTGAATGAAAGTCACCTCTGGTTGATGCGAATGGATGAAAGACGGTTTCCAGCACGGCCCTTATTACAAACCGTACCTTCCACTTTCTCCCCTCACAAAAGTCTAAATCTATTTTTCCTTTGCGTAAACCACATCAACGCTGCCCTGCTTTCACCCCTCTCCTGCTGCCATTTCAGCGCGTAATACACGACGGCTGATGTATTTAAGCTGGCATCAACTGCTGAAAGCCATTTCAGCTCAAACAACTTGCAGGCACACCACTATTTTCTAAATTGCATGAAAGGACTGCAAATGTTTTGCATTCTCTGTAGAGGTAAAAAAAAAAAAAAAAAAAAAAGTTTCATTCCTGCAGTGACTGCGACAATCCTAAAGACAGGCTGTGCTCTCTCACGTTACGCACTGAAAAACATATGACCAGCCACAAATTGAGACTAATCAACAACGATAATAGAAGGGGGGAAAAAAAAATATCCTCATCACCCCTCCAACCAGGGAACTTTATAAAGGTCAGGAGGACAAACTCATATTCCCTATTGCTTCAGTAGGAGGGCAGCACTAAGAGATACAACATTTCTCTCGCTCTTGAAGAAATCTTGTATTTGAAAACCTCAGCGATTTAGCTTCATCCTGCAAGACGGACACTACCAAAAGCCAGAGGTACAAGGCAACTCACTTGTCCAAAGCTCTGCAAGGAGAACTAAGGCAGAACTATGAAGAGACCCTCGTTTCCCTGCTCTGACTGCTGTATGCTGGGTACCCATCTTTACCCATGAGTTTCTGCTCATCTCCACTTGTGGTGCTGACCCATTCCCTTACCATCGACTGTCTCACTATACGGCCAGGACCTGGATGACGATTCAACCCCTTTCTAAAACGCAGGACTTCCGCAAGTTAGTGAACCTGGGGTACGCGACCACAATATTAATATGTTAAAAAGGGATGCCAGAGCCACTGCACGTCAAGCCCATGTCAGGACACATCTGCCGTATGTAGACGAAGCAGCAAGGCGGTTGGCCACAAAGCAGATACCCGACTTGAAGTCAAAGAGATGGATGGTCTTTCAGTTTTTTTTTTTTCTTTTTTTGAAGTTGCTAATATTCTTCCAGTATCCACTGAAAGTGGATTTCTAAAACAACTCTGCATTGACTTCAGCGCAGCGACCAGGTATAATTCAAGGCAGACCTCAGCGTCTCAGGCTTGCAGCCTGAGTTGCCAGCTGTTTACAAAAGGGATTCCTTAGTCCAGTGGTTTTCATCCCTTTTTTGGATTTGGTTCTTCCAACCGATGCCCAAATTCTCACACCGTGAATTTAAACCTAATGACAGCAGGTTTGTTTTTGAGACCCCGTGGCGACAGGGTATGAAAACCAAGTCACTGACTGCAGGTCAGGGCCTGTAAACCACTGAACTAATACAATATCCCAAATTGTGCCAGTAGGTTTTGCTCAGTATAATAAACAGTACAGAAAGGCAAGAGACAAAAAATTAAAGTAATTGCAACTAAAGCCCCACGGAGGCCTCAGGAGGCTCTGACAGGAACCACTTCATAGTACCAACGATAAATCAGGCAAAACTTAGACCCACTGTGCAGGTGAGCTAGGAAACACACAGTATTACTATTTGCTAACGCAATAATATCACACAACAGTAACGTTCTCTCTCCTTGGTGAAGTTACAAATAATCTCATTTTGAAAAATAGAAAGGATTATAAAGATGGAAAGAGAAAGCCTTCATGAGATCCATCTGCCCTCCTTTTCCCTGCCAGACGAACCTGATTTTTCAATAGGTAGTTCGAGGCTGGTTATCGGGTGTCAAGAAAGTAGAAAATTCCCTCTTCAGTCAAGGGCATTATGCCAAATTCAGCCCTGATGTGATTTTCTGCTCAAAACAATCATCTTGTCCCACGGGTGAGCCCGGCTCAACACTACTCTTTGCTCCATTTGTCCTGAATCAGCTCTCTTTCTTTCTCCAGGAAGATGAGTCATTTCCTTCTCCATTACCAAGTTTGGGCAACAGCACATCACCATTTAAAAAGTATTTATAACACTTCCAAAGCTTCCAGGCAATGTTTCTTCAATCAACTTCAACAAATCTTTTCATTTATCGCTGTGGGTATTACAGCACATGAGTAATTCAGGGCTGAACGTATACGTTTAAAACCCCCAGAGCTGAGCAGTGCCTGTAACGCTGTTTTACGACCCTGTTTGTCTTTACAACATTTTCTACCTTGGTACAAGAAAACTTGGTCAAGATATGCTGCCCTAACAGAAATTTGCTTGTGCTCCTCTATGTCCTGCATGCAGCTTATTTTTCTCTCCTTAGGTCACAGCAAGCACAAAGCATTCAAACCTCGCAAACCACTAACCGTCTGGGACAGGTCTCCGACCCCGCGGCTCGCTGGCATGGAAGGGCCTATGGCCATCCTAGTCCTATCTCTTACTCTCCAAAATAGTAAGCTATCATAAATGGTCCCTTTGTGGTGCTATCTCTTGAACTGCAGCTGGGGACTGGCCGAGAGAGACAGCGCTTGTGCCCAGGCCCAGCACGTCAAGAACCCTTCTAACTGGTATCAACAACCAGCTTCCCACACCAGCAAACGTTCCTTACTCAGATGTAGCCACTCACCGAAACTCAGTTATGATGGGTTTAGAGTGAACGTTCCCAACATACCACTTGTGCCATCACCTGAATAAGAAGGTAACTTCAGGCAGACGCACCACTACAGTGCAAAGAAAGAGATGCCTCGCTGGATGGATGTAAGATCAGTCCACATCACCCTATCAAATCAATTAAAAAAAAAAATGCAGAAAAAAAGGAATAGGTTCTATGACTAGGTGGGGTGTAACAGCTGAGCAGCCCCTGCTAACGGGTGAAGTAATATTGCTCAGGACATACAGCTACTAGTTCTGCTTTCTCAGTCATTCCAGACACCGCTCGGTGGTATTTCAGGAAGAGATCACAATACACCTGCAGCTTTACTTACAGGACCCTGGCTTTTTGTCAGCAACACTTAACTCACGTTCTGCCAACCTGACCTCACCTTTTCAAGTATCCCAACAGGAAGAGAAACATTTTCTTGCATTAGCGGTGGTGTGACATACCCTTCACTTGCTCCTCTTTTTCCATATAATGCACTTTTGAGCATTATATGACAAAGTTGATTTGCCAGGTTTGGAAATCAACAGACGCTGATGGGTATAGAGCTGAGTTGCAGCATACCCATGCACCTCTTAATAGACATACAGATACAAGTACACCAACGATCAACACGGATAAGATGGCAAATATACTTGATCCTCGGTGAGATGGTTTTAGAGTAAATCACTGACATACTTACAGAACTGGTCAAGGATCATACCTTCTATGGCAACGGCTTGGTCTCCTCTCCTCTCCTGAGTCAGGGCTGCCGCACTGTGGTGGTATAGGTCTGCTCCACATTTTGCTGACCCTAATCTGTTCACCAGCTAAAGAGAATCATGCAGCACTGAATAAAATGCAGGATGGTTTTATACAATATAACCCTTCTATACTATATTGCAGCTAAGTTAACAAATTCATTGCAACGAGGTGACAGCAGAAACGGATGAAGACGTGACCCCGAACCGAAGCTACGGTCTGAATGAGCACGCTGTCAGCGGAGTTCGCTATAACGCTTTAGCGCAAATGACTCACATGCACAGACAAGCTACAGCACAGCAGCTAACCTACAGCTACTTGCAGTTTGCTCTGCAGCCTGTGACTCTGTCCTGAGGTGGCTGCAGCAACAGACACATACGACTGACCTATGCCATTTAAATGGGAGTCAAACAGGGTTTTTCATTTATCGTCCTTTTGTCCACCGAGTCTTATTTGGCCAAGGAAGTAAGGGATCTTGGGATCTTAGCTTACGGCAAATGCAAAGTAAAGTAATTTTGCTAAATGTTTAGCAGACGTCGTTAAATTAGATTACTTAACAATTTATATGGAATAACTGAAGCTGCCGTGAGCTAAGAGCCATTGACCATCATTCAATCGAACCATGCTAAGTTCGTAAATTAAGGTCAACTGCTTTTATACCTGAGCACTGAGAGCTTGTTAGTATTTTATTAAAATGAATGCATAAATTGTGACTAATTTTTTAAAGATTTTTTTTATAATACATTCACATTATTTTAATCTATTAGATGCTTCCAGGTATAATTTTGGAATAAACAGGAATTCCACTATTCCACTAAATACCACAATTTCAGCTACTAATTTCATACAACGAATCTCTCCCAGTAAAAGGAATTATCCTGTTTATGACATGTCAGACAACAGATCTTTCAATCTCTTTGAACTTACTTCACATTCATAGTATCCCATATCTTCCCTGGCAGGGTTCTTGATCACCAGGACTAACATGCCACTCCGTGGTTCACTGAAAGTCTGGTATTTACTGGTGTCCTTCAACAGTGCACCATCTTTGTACCATCTGCATGTGGAAAACATTGAATGTAGACCAGGAAAAAATATGCGGTCTCAGGGAGTCCTCAACTCACTCATCCATCCATCAGGCCAGCAGGCAAAAAACTCAAGAGTTAACCATTAGAGAAAAGTTCACATCCCACATCGGCTTTAAATTCCTGGCAGAGCGCGCTACACATAGATCACATATGGATACTGAACACATCAGGCTTACGAGATACTGCTCAAGAAATCTCATTAGCCAATGCAGGGAGCAGTGGTCCCAACCTCAGACTAGTTGCTGATAAAATCAATTCAAGTGTAAGGCAGGCTGCACAAAGGATTGATAAAATATTGTCAGGCCATTAGATCTGATACAGCCTTATATCAGGTATTTTCTGTAGGTGTTTCTTTTCAGATGCTTGCTGGAATAAATCGCGTGAGAATGCCAAGAATGTCGGGACCAGGAAAAGCCAGGAGTGGGATGGGGACAAGCTGGAGCACACAGAGAAGAAGGGGTCATATCCTTGAAGGACTGGGCAGGAGACTCTTCTGACCGTGCAAAATGGGAAAAGAGAACTTGTGCCAAGGTGACTTCTAAAAAACTGACCTGATTTGAGGCCTAGGTGCTCCTTCAATAGTACAGGTAAATTGAGCATCTTCACCATCGACATAATAAGCGTTTCTAACCTTGTTCACAAACCGTGGCGGCACTGCAAAGCAAGCATAAATGTAGCCAACAGCTGCAACTATGACAACACCCTAACAGATACACAGGATGTGTCCTTGACCAGATAGTTCTCATGATGTCTGCACATAAGACCCTAAAGACCCCATTTTCTGACCTAATAATAATTCACTCACTTCTGTACCAAAGAACTTTCCGAAGGGAGTAAACTGCATATATTATATTGAACTTCTTGAATGCCTTAATATTCATGTTTAGGGTATTCCATAACAGACCCCTTTGAAACAAGGCATCTGTGCAGGATTTTACCTTGAACAAGGATCTTCCCTAACGTACTGGCATGTCCAGCAGGACTGGAAGCAAAGCACATGTATTGTCCTGAGTCACTGCCTGCTAGGTTGTCCAAGATCAGTGTGCAGGAACCATCAGGATCTTCTATTATAATGTGATGGGGATCCACCTCCACTGGCTTCCCATCTTAAAGATTCAGGAAAAAAAAAAAAAAAAGCCTTAGTAAATAGTTTGGTATCAATTACATTTTCTCCCTAGGAATTGCATTCAGCTCTGTTGTCAGAGGACCGAGAGCTGTATTTCTTTTCAGTAGCTGAACCTGGTAGCTGACGAATGAGCTCATGCTCCTCCAGCTCTCTACAACACATCCTGTGAACAAAGTACTGTTCTCCAAGTCCCTCTCTGCTCTCTTGGGGGATCTCATCCATCATCAATCCTCATTTAAAAGTGAAACTCTCCAAAGTATGTGCTGTGCAGTTGAAGCTCTTACTTGCTACCAAGTGTAGTAAAAGAAACACTTACAAAGAGACTGTAAGCATGCAGAACATATTTTTACCAGGTGTGAGCATAATGCAAAGCTGTTTCCCCTGCAACACAGTTACGCTGAAAAAAGGAATATGTCCACACAGCTGCCTGTGTTATCACATATAAACACCTAAGCTAGTATAACAAGTTGCTCAGTTCCAAGAAGTTATCTAACTGCAACAAGATGTGGCTTCCTATGGACTAATTTGCAAACCTGAAAAGCAAGGTACGTTAACTCACAGGAAGGTCCGTGCTACTGCAGCTTGGTTGCTCAGTTGCTAACTTCTTTAAGGCTAGACTCAGGTGTCTCCCAGCGATCGGCTTATACATTATCCACTAACAACTTCACAAAGAGTAATATACACAGAGGACAGACCTGGAGTATGCATTTCACGCTAATATGGCTTGCTGCTTATACCTTTATACCAGCACACAGACGGCTTGGGAGCTCCTGTAACTTTGCAAGCCAGCTTGACTGTCTCTCCCAGCTCAGCTGTACAGTCTGCCAGTTCTTCCTCAAAGTCCGGAGGTACTGAAATATCAGAATAAGCATGTTAGGCCGGGGCAGGGGGCTCAGTTCCTAGACCAGCTATTGCAAAATAAAGAAATAACGGGCAGAATTTTTGCAGATCTCTGATGTTCAGAACGGGAACTGGGAAAGAACACTCTAGCAGGTAATGACTTTCAAGGTGACTTGCTGCTCTTGCTTACTTGAGAATAAGCTGAGTCCGCCAAAAGTAGGTTGTTGGCTTTAAAGATGGGACGTAAAAATCCTGGACTTGTTGCTGATCTAGAAGTAATGTAGGCCATGATTTTAATAAGCACATCCATTATTCAGACCACACCGCTGTCACAGCTAATTCCCCAATTAAAATGCATCCCTGATATCCAAACTAATATTCTGCTGCTCTGTATAAAGCAAAATCTATGCTTCGTTAAGGGACTTTTATTTTGATTTATTCCTACCACAAGAAATTGCAAAATTATTTGATAGTCTTCCTTACTAGAACATCTCACTAAAAGCATAAAAATGAGCTGCTCAGACTTGTTTCCAGTGCATATACACCAAAAAAAAGGATCTATTTTGGATTTTTAAGAAGCCAAGTTGACTTATGCTGTGAAGGACACAATTTCTAGCTCATATCTGGACAATACGGATCTAATATCCTGCCAATAAATTCTGTGGACACAAAAGTGACAGTGAGGATGAAACAACCTGGATGACAAAATAAAAATCCAAAGCAAAGCCATGTGTCCAGATAAAACAATGTAAGAACTCGGGAATGGACGACTCAATAGCCAACAAAATCACAAGCAGCTCTACACTGGTATCAGTAGGTGTCTAGGTCAGGTCTTGAGACTCTTCTCACTAGAGTTTGATGCTTTTCATGGAGCGGGACTGGGTTTTTGTCATCTAATTCTGTGGCCAGTTATCCTTCCACAATCTCTGCCAGATCAAATGCATCTCTAGTGCCAACTTTGCAATTTGTGTTCTCCAAGTTTTAACAACGCATTTCTCTCCTCCAGTGATGCATGTTTTCTGGGCTACTGTGCTGGAAAATAAAATCCTCTGTTTATTGACAAGGGCTAGTGAATATGAACACATGCAACTGCAGGCAACCACTTCAGTCACTGACTCTAAACCTCCATGAAAGGTCGCTCAAGTAAAAGTTGTCCTTTGAAATGGCCAAGAATAGCCAGCTATCCTCAATTCACCAACCAGTGTTTTCCACACTTAGGTGATAGAAACCAAAGAGTAATCAGGAAGTTACTCATCTGCTCTGCTATTGTCTCAAAATCAATACAGATCTGGTGGGACCTCTTTTATGGAAATTTAATCACTTCAGTGATATACAGTCTTGGCTCCCTTGATGATAAATGGAAAGGCTCATCATTGTCCTATCCTGATAAAGGTGCCTACCCCAGCTCAGGTGAAGCACCTAACTTTCAGATAGCTAACATCGCTCCGGCTGAAGCGTGCTGCTTGCTGCCTAGTCATGCGAGTTGCTACTTATGGCAGCCTGTGACAAGATTAAAGGAAAACCTCTAACCCTAGTTTAGTTTTAGAGGTGGCAGATGACCCTAGACGGTTATCTCCCTCCTAGCAAAAAAATCCCCTTCCTGAGTCAGGGAGACATCCCCAAGGAAGCACTGGGAGATTCAGGCCAGCTCGGGCTGTACTCACTCCAGATAGGCTGACTGATCCGCTGCTGTATGCCACAGATCTCCTTCACCCAGGAGTTCTTGATATTCACTGTACGCGCCTGAAGGAGGTACTTGCGGACTGAGTCTTCTCGTTCGTGCCAGATTTCAAACGCCCGGTCGTCTCCTTCCACAGAGTCATTCACGTCTATGTTGCTCAGCTGTGTAACAACAGGAGCAAAGAAAATCAACATCTTTTTTTTTTCCCTTTTTACTTAAAGCTGATTTTTGGCCACTACCTTGCTCCTCACAGAAACGCCAGAGTTCAGGAAAGTTCAGATCTGGAGCTGGTCTTTGTGGACCACAGCCACCTTCAATAAAGGTTTAAAACGGAAACAACTGTTTAACACCAGTAAGTCTCCTGTTGCCAGCATATACTCCCTTCAGCGAACTTCAGTCATGTGCAAGTCCCATTAAAGTTATATTAGATGCTCCAACAGCAAAAGGGGAAATAGTGATATTTACACTGCTTTTAAAGATTCTTCAGAATGCACAAGCAATGCAAAGTGGCTTTGGCTGAACAGCAGCCAGGATTTCTTTGCAATCCTTTCTCCAGTATAACTAGCTTTCTGCATACCAAACAGATATTCCCATTTTCCGTCTCAGAGTAATTATGACATGTCCAGGAAAACAACAGCCAGAATTAAATTGTATTCCAGAGTGGGATACAACTTTCCCAACAGCACAGCGTCGTTGGGCTGACATCAGCACCAAGAAACAACACAGTCAGGCACTACATGAAAAGAAATTACAGAACACTTGCATTCTGGACAAAGTGTCCTTTTTTTGCAGGGGAACTGCCTGTGAATATCAACGATGACAGTGATAAGTATTTTCAGAAGGCCCTGACTGGGCTAGGTCAAGAACTCCACTGTTTTATCTACTTACTTTTTTAATGGAGTCGAGCATCTAGTGCCCTAGGGAAACTCTACGTGCAATTTCTTACAGTTTTAATCTGGGCCCTAAATTTCTGAGGATGAGTCAGCCACATCCTCTGAATTTTTCATTTCTAAACAGGAATTGGTTTTTGAGAAAGGACATAACCAGCAGAGAGGAACTAGTGGGAATGCAGCATACAACTGAAACAACATTTTTTCCAATTTACTACCAATCGTATAGACTGAATACCAAAGATCTACAAACTCTAGCAAATGCTATAGGCAGCACCCCAACCAAAATTCACATCAATTTCATGTAATCAATTAACACACTTTAGATGTAATCTAATTGCTGCACAGTAAAAATCTGCCTGTGCTTCTGATGATATCTGACATGTTTCTAACAGTGCTCACAGAGGGATTTGGGGATAGACTTAGATTTCACTTGTGCTTCACAGACTTTCAGAAACAAAGGAATAGTTTGAAAGGATTAGTGAAATGTTCTAGTTTTAGATGACCAGAAGCTGGACATAAAAGAAAAGATCTCAATGACAGAGAAATGCTCTAGCTGAGGAGGTAATGAACAAACCTTCATTATGTTCTTGAAGATGTAACTGTAGGTGTCTGTCTTTGTGTCCCGCTTTGATTTGCAGATCACTATGTAACTCTTAAAGAGGAAGACGTGTCTTTTGTGTCCTTTCCATGCCATTCTGGCTCCTGGAGCTCCTTCCCAGACAATGAAGTGGCCCTGAGGGGGAAAAGAAGGAAGTTCGGTTAGCCGTAACTGGAATAATTACCATGGTGGCTCACCATCTTTTTCCAGTCAACAGATAATAAATGTTTACTGTTACATCCTCATCTTAGGCACTTTGTTTTCATTACAGCACAGCAGATAGATTGTTTTGAAAGCTAAAGGTGATGAGATGATGCATGAGACTGAGAGCACCGAGAGGTGGGCACACAGTGCTCATCATTACATTGGCCTTTAAATGATATTCTTTGCTGTCAGATAAACACAAAACTCAAGTCCGGCTGTCTCAGGTAGGCAGACTCCTCTAGTACTAACGCTAATGGGAAATTTTTTGAAATTTGAAGCAGACATACACCTGTTTCAAAAGAGAGATCTGGAGAAGCAGACAGATCTTTTGAAGATACATGAACAGTTGTGGGAGAACATCCATAAACTGATCTCACTTTTTCACACAGAGTATATACAAAGTACGCTATGTTACTTTGAACTGACATGCCTAGTAAACTTGGCTCTTCAAAAGAATGGTCAATTTGAAAACTTGTATATTGAAAATGTCTAACGAGCGTCTAACTCCTCAGGAATCAACACAAAAAAACCCACTGATGCCAGTAAGCTCAAGAGTTGGTCCACGTACCCAGCCCATAAGGGGAGAGAAGGAGGAATAAACAAAATCCTTAAAAATCATGTATGAGCCAAACCAAATCTCTTCCTGTTTGATGAGTGACTTGCAAAGGCAACTAACTACATTATGTGCGAACTGGTGCATAAGCTCTGGTGCTTCAAATCTTAATCAAACCAGTAGGCGCATCTCTCACACGTAAAGGGATGTGGCGCATATTGAGCAATAAAACAGGCAATAAGAAAATACTCTGCTCAGATATAATTTGTAAAGGAGCTTATTTTAGGGCTGAAGGTTACTTAGAAATTCCTGAAGGCACACACAGCAATAAAACTGACTGAGAAATTCCATGTACCTGTCGGATGGGTTCACCAAGGCTTTCCAAGGTCCCTGGATAATTCTCGATCAGTGAGACATGGAGGTTGTTTTCTGCTCTTTGCGTGAGCGCAGACACAATGGCATAAGCCTGCTCCAGCAAGGCACAGTTTTGGCTATTTCTTGCTTTGTTTCGGATTAATTCCTGTAGATGAATGAAGTCAACGTTACAGTGCAGACTTAAAAAAAAAAAAGTAAGAAAAGAAAAAGAAAAAGAAAAAGAAAAAGAAAAACCCGCTAGAGGGTAGGAGCGGTAATTTCCTTGACACCAGAAGAGGTTCCCAGATATCAAACTGTCGTCCTGCTCTTTCATCTGAACAACTCTTACCCCATTCTCTCACTGTGTCCTGTTTAGCTACCAAATCCTCCTCTTTACAACCCACTCTGGGGCCTCACGTCTAGCTTTTCCCTGCACCAACTGATATTTAACAAAAAGAAAGCTGAAGTAAATATCAGATATGCTTCAGTGACTGAAAAGCAAAAAAAAAAAAAAAAAACCAACAAAGCAATCCTAAATGTGCGTACTGTATTTGTCTTGCGCTTACCCTGCTGATGACATGAGGCATGCAACTCATGTGGCAGTGCTAAAAAAACCACAGATATTTCGTAGAAATAAGAAAGGATGGAAAAATAGGAAACAGCAGTTATTTCTTCTCACATTTGCTCCTATTGCCCTCTTTCAGCAATGCAGACATGGGAAGCTCCCATGCTCTCTCTCATTTCCAAGAGACCATTGGAGATCATGAACCTCTCCCTGAATTTATATTTACAGAACAATTTAGAGATCACCATCACTGATCATAAATACAGTCTTTCTTACTCAAGCATCTTTTGAGCAGAGTTACAATAGGATGAACCCAGAGAACGTGAAAGGAGAATGAAGTCCTTTTCCTTGCGGGCTACACAAAACAAAACATAAGCCTATCTGATTAAAAGTGTGTATCAAAAGTTCCTACCTTGATAATAGTCTGATACTGCTGGATCCTGTTTATGGGTTTTTCTAGATAGTGCTGCAGTGGTGGGATAAGTGGCTGCGAAGGATCTTCTCTAGGTAAAATTTCATCTGTGTATCTCTAAAGAAAGATATACAAGAATGAGGAAAGACTGAGATAAAAGACAATGAAAAAGATTATTCCCTGAAAAAGGCTCATATGATACTAGTTCATAGAGTTAACTCACCAAAATTGCATAGCTCTACCAGACCTTACTATCCCATCTCCAGACATCTGTAACCCTCCCCCATCCTTTACCAGCTCATTTTCATTTTAGACTGTAAGATGTTTGAAATGCTGAATTTGTCTTCTTTACCAGCACAGGACTGATACTGAGGAAATGCGAGCCTGAAGCTTACAGGCTCAGACAACGAAAGGAAAGATCAGCACTTTTTGTCTAGTTTCAGAGAAACTAAAATTTAGAGTTCTCATTTTTTATATGACTAATCATTTCCTTGAGTTCCTTTATTTAATATAACTTTCATCATATACTCTTAACAGACATAATCATGTACATATTCCTATCTATATAATCTTTATAATCCACAAGTACACAGTTACATGTTCACATACCGATTGTGTCTACTAGGAACAGCTAGACAGTAAATACAAAATTTGCTATATTTAGCAATGACTTCTCACAAAAATGTTTAATAATTCTCTTTGGGATCATATTTGTAATTAATGCCTACATCTCATGATACAGTGGGTTATTGGATGCACATTCAGTAGGTATTTTGGCTGCTGTTTTACCTTGTAGAAATCCTGGACAGCTTTGCTGACAACAACTGACTCGGCCTGTATCCGCCCCACCAGGTAATGGATGTACTTATCAAACTCTGCCTCACGCTTAATAAAGCACATGGCCACGTCATCATCAGTGTCACATTTCTGCAAGTCTCGGAGGAAGACACTGTGGAGGTGAAAAAAATGACATTTGAGCAGCATGTGATGGAATAAGGCTAGAACATCATCCCAGCAGCCAGATTTTTAAATCAGAAAAACTCAGGTTAATATAGATTAAAGGAATGATTGAGGGAATGAAGGATACTGCCACGTTTAGCGTACTCGATGCCTCTTTGTTGAGCAGGATGCTGCCCTTGTTAGTTTGAATTCAGGAAATGAATTGTAAGGGGTAACTTTCAAGGGCTTAGCTCAAGGTTGGAAGTCAACCCTTCCCCAAATCCTTATGTCTCAGTTTAAGAAGCCATGAGCCACCCCCATGAGTGAAGAGAGAGATCCCCCCTCTGTTGCACAAAGCAGGTTGAGAGAGTTTCACATGCACAAAGATTTATTAGCAGGTGGCATATTAGCTGATGGCATGTATCAATTTTAGCAATGAAAACTACTTTTGGGATAAATGAAAATGAAAGGAGAGGGAAAGGAGAGAAGAGAGAGAGAAGGGAACAGGAAAATCTTCTCCCATGTGACAGCCAGAAGAAGAAGCGGCAGATGTCCAAAGACAAGCATCCTTCCCCGTGTAGCGGTAGCGGCACCCGTAATACTTCAGTAACTATACATTTTTCATCACGACCCGTGCAAACTCCCTATTGGTTGCCCCTGCTTACAATGCTATCGGCACTGAATGGAGCACACATTGGGCAGGGGCAAAAAAAAGCTACAAATAGAGGGCAGGAAAATGGGGAGGAAAGGGCAATTCTCACGCTAGTGGCAGATGCTTCCCATCAGAATCCCCCGGAACAACTGCATCGGGGTGTGCAGGTGCAAGAGCACGTGAATAACAGCGTGAGAACACGGGGAAAATCCTGCCCCAGCAGCTTGGGTGAAAGGGTGCAGAGCTGCAAAAGGAAGCCTGTTAGCCACAGGCAGGCTAAGGCACACATAGCACTGTACAACCTCTCCTCTCCCTGGCAAATAAGAATTTAGCCCAGACCTTGGAAAGTCACTTTGTGAAGAGCAGATTGGCAGTAAATCCTGCATTGCGGGAGGTGGAGGAACTGTATCATGGGGTCATACCTAGGCCGCCTGCTACAGCTTGGTACGTTTTGAACGCAGACACTGGTACTGGTTCTAGCCGCGTGCGTGAGACTCAAAACACCATTGACATGCCTGTAAGACTGTGCTGCCTTTTTATAATAATTCACTGTTTCTCATTTAAATTCACTCAGAAAGGTTAAAAAAAAAAAAAAAAAAAAAATAAACAGCAGGATATATGAAGTCTTGAAGCTCTGGGCACTACTACAGGAGCCCCAGCCCTGTGCTCTGACTTAAGGATGAGAAACGATGGCATAGCTAAAATGCCCATCCCAAAACTGCCAGTGCTCCACAGTATCCACAGCTACCGTAGCTCTGACACCAGCTACAGAAACCACTCTTCTGTTTCAAACGAAGGCCCAGGGGAATGCCCACCTGTAATGGAAACGAGTAATGTCATCGATATTTCTGAAGATGATGCGTTTCTGACTGGAAACAGCTCCTGGGACATTGGGAGAGGTCTCAGTGTACTTGAGGTGATGAGACTGAAGGAACTGTAAATCCTGAATGTAATCCTCTTCTGAGATCAGCAGTTCCTGAATAACAACACTGAAGGGAAGACAAACAGGTGAAAAGAAAGCACAGAACAATCAGCACAATTATTTTTGACGTGTCCCTAAAATAGAGACAGACGTTTGGGCAGAGGAACGGACTTCTTCGAGTATGCTGACTAGATCCCCTTGGACTATAAAGGAAACTTAGACACTCTCCTTACAGACTGACACCTACATTACAGACATCTACACCTGGGCGAAATGAAACTGAGTAACAGGAGGATCTATGTAGAGTTGACAGCAGCAGCTTAGATGCCACATTACAGAACCAGAAAGACGCTACAGAGGCAAATATCTGTAGGCCAGCACTCAGTAGTGCGCTGCACTGCAAGGGGGTAATACACGGCTGAATAATACAAGTTTGTAGCAGCTCTTCCTAGAGTACTTCCACTCTGGCAAAGCACATGTTGAGAGAATCAACTGAGGGAAAGGGGAGATGGCAGGCCTCTGAGATACGGAAAGGGCGACTCTTTCAGGAGGGACCTAGACACCAACATTCATGTTAGTTCAAACGGCAGCAAGACTCAGGAGCGCCTGTACAAACAGACAAGTGCTTACGTCAGCTTCCTTTTGTATTCATCTTCAGAAACACATTCTCCAGGGAATTCGGGAGCCTCTGTTGATCCCCACTCTGGTGACAACTACAATACAAGAGAAAGCACACATTCTTCAGCGCTTTTGGCAGTACGCACAGAAGAATATCCCTCACAGATCCAAATTTCTTTCTTGCTGGAGACTGATGAGGTCTTTTAAGCCCAAGCACCCCTCCACACACATAAAAAAATTGTCCAAACAAAACAGGAAAAAGCCCCATCGTTTACAGACCCTTTCAATGACCTCTTCACCCTTCGCTTCAGTTTAGAGGGATGGCTTTAAATTGCAAAAGAAAGTAGTAATTTTACACAAAAAATAAATGTAGGATTATCAGTTACCTTTAATTTCTTGTCAAGATAAGCTGGAGATACCCAACCCTGTCGGGAGGGGCTAGATTTTGTGGGTTTAGTCCTGACTAGCCACTTCAGTGGATGAGCCGAATCAAGGACTTCCACATATTGGCCTTCCTTCAAAGTGATGGCTTCCTTGTCAGGCGCAGCAGGCACAAAGTCAGCAGTGACCATGTAGACGTCAAAGATCTGCATGCATGAAATGACAGTTATTTTGAGTTCTGAAAAGGGAAGTACAATATCACCCACAGAACCTAAGTGTGCTTATCTGTGTTTAATGTTTTATTCTCCAATCTCTGTATAGCAGAGACGCAGTGTTTACTTTTTAGGAAAACTAAGTGTCAAAAGGGTTCTGGAGGTATTTTCAAAACAGTCTCCAGTGTATTGGATTTACACTGTGAAATAGTGAATTTTGCTCCCAAGGCAAAACAAACAGTGGTCCTGAAAATGTCAGAATAGGTCAACGTTGCCAAAGGTTTATTAAAAAAAAAAAAAAAAAAACTATTTGAAACGAACACCTAAAACGTTCAGATTTTCATCAAATAGTCATTTTTCACAGGAAGAACTTCTCAAGCAAATTCTTTTGACAAACTCTATCCAAGGCTGCAGAAAATCAAGCTCCGACTTTCTGAAGCTAAGCCATGGAAAAAAAGGTGCCAAACAATGCCTATGTTTGGACCGTATTGACTCGAACAATTTGTTCAAGAACACATAGTGAGCACCAGAATCTCGTTCTCCAGTGTTAGATCTGTGCTCCGTATCACAGGGCCCGCACTTAACTACCACTCTCTTCTAAATAATTGTTTTTCCCAGTGTCAAACTTGTCCATAAAGATAACATACCTCGCCTCTGGAATCCCCATCTTCAGATTCAGAGGAGGACTCCTGAGCAATGGATGAAGGCCTGGATCGACCATGGCGAGGAGATGCAGAAGGAGTTTTTGATTCATCGTCGCTATCTGCACCTGGTACTCGAAGCGTGGCTGAAAAGTAGAGCAACAGGAATATGTGAAATGCAGCTCTTGTACTTGAACGTGAGTCGAATCTACACTACCTTTTAATTTAATAAAACTAAATATTTGCCCAGAACAGCACTTGCAGCATTTTGTGTGATTGCCTATCAATACTTTGGACTGCATAAATAACGCAGGGAAATCCAACGTTTTAATGTATGAGGTTATATGTTTATTGCAGTAAAAATATTTGTACGAGAGGTATGACTTCATCTTAGCTTCACAATAAAATAGTACTACAACAAAATCAATTTAGCATATACAAAACAAACAAGAATTTTTCATTTTAATTTAATAAATCATTAGTTTACCGCACAGCTATGCACACAGTTTTCAGCCTAGACTTGATTTTAATATCCTATCGTGAACTACAACTCAAATTAAGACGTGGAAAGTCTGCAAAGCAGGATTGTTTTTGGACTCAGGAGTGACACGTTATCTGAGCAACTCAAAACACCCAAGATGCACAAAACGCACTTCCATTTTTACAATTTGCCTTCCACCTCAAAGTCCACATTTACTCTTGCTTATTTAAATAAATACTATTTGTCTAAAAAGGATACTAGCCTTGTCAGTTTGTTGTAAGAGCTATTTTTTTTAATTCAAAACGGAGGGCTAAGATGTGGCAGCTTGGATAGGTTCTAGCTAAAAATTCTTAGACCTAAACATTCACAAATCCTTATGCACATGACTGTCTCAGGACTTGCTTCAGAAATCTCACTGAAATTTAAAGATCAAATGAAACCTAAGAAAAGCTTGCATCATTTTCTATATTAATTCAACTGCACTTGCCAGGTCACTTACCTTGACTTATTTTTGCAGATACCATTTCTGAGATATGGGAGGTGAGTTTCTGGAAGAACTCTTCTGTTCCAACATCAGCTAAGGAAATTGGGCTTTTGTGTACACCCTCTTTACCAGCTTCACCGTCAAGGTCTCCTAGAAAAGAAAGAGCTTTCTATTAAGCATGCAATATGTCACTGGAAAGTCAGATTTTTCATGTAACAAAAGCTTCTGTGGAAGGAAAGTCTAATTTTCTTCACTTTCCCTGCTTTTAAACCTGTTTGCTCTTATTTCCTCCAAATAATTCACCCCTAAAGAGAGACTAGTCCTGAAAAGTTCCAGCACTTTGGGAAGTTTTAAGAGGAAAAAGAACAAAAGTAGGTGTTGATAATGAAATATCTAGACAACCTGAGCTGTAGATAAGGAAAGGAAGAGTAATCTGTATATATATATATATATATATATAATCCATATACATAAAATAGCTTCTCTTACCTACTCTTGCTTCAGAGGGATGGACAGCTCTGGGGAAAAAAAAAAAAAGAGTAAAGCAGGATTAGAAGCTAAAATGAAATGCATAGTAAGAGTTAAATCAGAAACACCTCCTCCTTCTCACACCTTATACATGAAGGTTGGGAATAACTAGATTTTTACGTCTATAATTACTAGATTGTAAGCCTTAAATCCAAGTGCTGTTACCTAACACTCACCAGGGCCACCATAAGAAACATACCCAAACCATGCTGTTGCCTGAAAAGATCTACTGCTCAGGGAATAGACTATAGAACAGAGTAGCCTTCACCTCTCAGGTGCTACCTGGACTTTGTTCTCAACTGGTACTGAAAAATAAACACTACAGAGAGAGGCATTATGTCAAGTGCGATCTGTAGTGTCAGTCAGTTTTCAGTGAACTTATGCTCAGTTCACTATCAAGAATATTTTCCAGTGGTTTCATCAGGAAACCAAGCACTTCAGAGTAGACTTTGTGGCCCTGCCAGGAGATCTGCTCCCACCACAACAGGATGGCTGCGTGTTGGAGACACAAGCTGATTACTGGTATTGCAATGATTTTGAGGTCCAAAGAGGACCTTGCTACACTGAGAAGTTTCACTAGCAACAAACTCATTCGCATCAGCAGGATTTTTTTAGGCTGCGCTGCAAATACTAAATGAAAGTGGCTTCATAGAAGTGAAGAACTAACAGTATTCACCTGTATCTGATGAAGATAGTTTGTGGTGTTTTCCTAGACTACAGCCCTGTGAACACACTACCGTCCTGAAGTCAACATCTTTGCTATTTCTGTGCTTTCTGGGGTCACAGAACTTACTTTCTGTCAAATCACAGAAATTTGGGCGGGATTTAAGACCTTTAAAATTATTTATTACATCAGGTCTTTAAGGAAACAGCATCTTTTTTTTTTTTAATTTTCAGAGAAAAAGTAGGACTTCTGAGCTTGTTTATATGAAGAAACTACTACAAAGTCTGCAAGGGTTTAAATTTTTATAGTACAAGCTATCTGCCCTAACTCTCTGCATAATGCTGTTAGTACATAGGAAGCATGAAGAAGCTCACTCCACTTTCACATAGCGATAAACTACCTATCTTCAAATACGCCTAATAAAAGTCAGGTACATCCTTGTGCGAGATTGCAGTGGAAGAGCTGAATTCACACTGTAGCTTTCTTCACGGCAAATTCCCTGTGCAGACAGTCCCCCAAGTCAGCCATAAAACTTGAATGTTAACAGGTAAGGTCCATGCTTTAACAAAATAAAGTTTCAGTTGAAAGCTACCAAGTTTTATTAAGACTGTAGCAAGTACAACACTTGTAGAGTAATTCCAGCTATAAACCTTTGGGAAGTACAGACTAGTGCCAATTAGTCCAAGTATGACTAATTTCCTCTGGTTTTCACATAAGATCCTTTTGTAGTCAATGGAGAGAGAGACAGACACTTCTAGAGAGCAAACAGCCCTTAGCAAGGGAAACTGATCCGCTGGGAACGCTCATCTCTCTCCACTGGCTCCGGAAGACTAGTCAAGTCTTCTAGGCTAAACATATTCTAGAAGTGAAAGTGTGTTTAAGCGGATCCCATTTTTCAGAACGGGCTCCCGACTGGGTGGCCAAACACTTACCCCAGTGTGGTCATTATAGCTTCTGATACCATCACGCGCTCCTGGGTCAGAACTTCAGCTTCCTTCACTGCAAGGTCAGGGTTTATTGTTAGAGGACAGAAAACAGAGTATTTTTTCTACATTTACTGTGGGGCACATTTTCTAGGCACAGATTATTGGAAATATCAGAATAATGAAGCTGTCCTGCTAGCAGCTCCTGACCCAGGGCGCATACTCCCCACTCGTATGATGCAAATGCAGTTCATTCCCTTTCCTGTTCATTCAGATGTGTCTCTCCACACTGTTCAAGCTCTACTGCTACAGCTCTTAGCACAGTAAAAATGTGGGATGCGAGCTTAAGATTCAGGAATTGAAATAGAAAAAAAACTTTCCAAATCCTTCCCAGTGCTGTCTGTCCTCTCAGCCTGTATTTGCTTTTTCCCTCCTCTTACTGCAGGGAACATGCCAGGAGAGGCCATGGAAAGCTTGGCAATGGGGCTTCAATAGCTTTAGCTGTCTTAAAGCAATTCTGCCAAGCAAAACATCCTTAGCCAAGTGAAGCACTCAACTTCACATCATTTCTAATGGTGACTTTTTAAATTTATTTTGTGTGGCCTTCCTTCCTTTTCCCTTTTCTTTGTGATTATTTTGGTTGTTTCTCAGACTTGTGTTTGTTTATACAGAAAAGGTGCTGCTCTTACTCTAAGCTAGGGTCAGAAACCTAAAAGATCATTACAGAAGTAAAAGAGCGTCATCATTTTCAAACCAAGTAAACTAATAGCAAATCACCAAAAATGGTGCTACGATTTGATTATTTTCCTTATCAGTCGCATTTATTTTTCTTTTAGCCACTGTATGAAAGGCAACATAGAAAATGGGCTTGTATTGTAAGAAAGACTTACCGTCTGCAACTTCTAGGGTGGCAGTGCAGATGGACTGGCCAGCCTTGTTGGTAGCAATGCATGTATAAGGTCCACTGTACTTCTTTTTAACGTCCAACAGGATTAGACTGTGATGCATATTTGAACTGGCGAGTTTATACCCAGGAGTGTCTGGTTTGATCCAAAGGATGTCTTCCTCAGACTCTTCTTTCAGCCAAGTGACAGTTGGTAGTGGATATCCTAAAGGAGAATGAATACAAGGAGCTCTAATTTTCCTAACAGTGTTATTCTTTTCTTACAAGCCTCAAGAGCCATGCTGTAATGAATGCTGCTTTTGATCTGTTTTCTGATCCTTTTACAGCAATAACAGTTATAATATACAATGAAGGAACACACATCTTTCCACAGCACACTCCTAAGGACATTAAAGCACTGTATAAAACCAAACAGTTAACCAACCCATCTTCCTAAGACTAAGCAAGTGTTATTATCCCTGTTTTTATAAATAGGAAAATGGAAGTGAAGATGAGTTAGAAGCTTTGCTATGAGGCACACAAAGTCTCGTACAAAGTCGGGACTAGCGCCTTGGACTTCAGATTCACTATCTGAGACCAGGTTACAGTGAGTCAGCCCAAGGAGAGACAAGAAATGTGTCATGACACTACGTAATTTAATTGTTGTGTAGGTAGACCACTTACCTTCAACTTTTACAGATAATGTGATGCTTGCACCTTTCTTAACCTTTTTATTAGTAAATCTTTCCAGGAACCTCGGTGGTATCAGCTGCTCATGGGCATCTGAAAATGACATTGGTGAAACATGGTGACACCTTCTGTGTGAGTTGAGAACTACTGAAAAATTTCTAGGGGTTCTGTTATCATCTGCTATGGAACCTCTCACCTGTTTCTGGTGGTTCTTCTTTCTCATCAGGCACTGTGACACAGGGAATAAAAATAAAATTACAAATACGTTTCTGTCCATAAGTTGCAAAGAAAAAAATGTGATTCTAGAGGATTACTCAATGCAGGACACACTACACAGAAATGTTAGTTCTGTTAAAAGAGCTATGCTTTCTCCGAAGTATATTTATTAATAAAAATGATGAGAATAGTCATATAGCATGGACACAGATTCAGTTTCAGTTTTCTATTATATATTCTACACCTTTACAAAGATCATTTTCATAAACTACAACTCATTCCTACCAAGCTCACTTAATTAATAATTCCAGAACAATTATGCTAATAAATACAAATACACATAATCATCTGCAAACACCTACTTCCACAACTCTCAAAATTTAGTAGTATTACTGGAACTGCCTCAAGTATGATTCACATAAGGCCCTCACTTTTGGTAAAACTAACCATTAAAGTTGGTGAAGTTAGGCAGAAATGAAATCTATGTACTTGAAACCACAATCAGGCCTTAGAGAAGTGACATCTCTAACTTTAAGGATACACTGTAAACTTACAAGTCAATTAAGTATAGAACACATCACGTTTTAACCACAGACTTCCGCACCTCCCTTGACTTAACATTGGTAGGCTTTTTCAAGAAACCTAACCATATAAAATAGAGTGAGTCATTGGAATGAAGACAGCCAGGAGCCAGGACATGCCAAAAATCTACCTTTGACTACCAGCCTGGCTGATGAATACGCAGAACCAGCAGAGTTAATGACAAATATTGAGTATTGGCCAGCATCAGCCTTGGTGACATTGAGAATTTCCAGTGAGTGGAATTCTCTTTTATCAATCTTCAGGATACGGTCCGAGGCCTTTAATGGTTGTCCATCTTTGAACCAATAGAGGCGAGGCTCTGGGTACCCTACAAGGAGCAATTATAGATGCAGAGAACAGAATGCATTAGCAATAACAATTCTGGAACATCTCGACCCAACCGCATGCTTCAGAACAGTCAAGGAAACCTCAGTTCTGCTCAGTGGTACGTTTGGAGGGTTTACTGCCTTAGAAATTACTGCCAATTTTATTCAGTTCTATTTATTTGTTAAAGTTTTTTCCTGTCTCTTCAGTTTCTGACACTTCCCATGCTTGCTGAATATCCAAATACCTTCTGGGTCGGAAATGTAATACTCAGGTCTGATCTGCAACATACACAAAGCCAAACACCGAAATCCCTAGCGAAGAAAAATGTAGACCTAAGCCACCCTTGGCTTGTATCACAACTTCAACACCCACTGTAAGAACACTGAAGCCAAAACAGCTCTTACCATTTTTCTAGGCAGCAACAGGAAAAGCAGGAGAATCTCTAACTCTTCCTACCACTGACAGCAGAAAGAAGTTTTTGTAGTTTTTAGCCCGTAGCAGTGACTCCTTCATAGCAGAGTAAGACAATGCTGCAGTGAGGGAAGGTGAATCTAGGACTCATCACTAGTTACTAGTCCAGGACTGTTTCATGTATTAAAGAGACTAAAGAGAGATTCTCACTTTTTCATTCCTTATTGCTCCTCCACGACTAATGTGCTCAGAAAATTACAAGACTCAATTTTCAGAAACATATGCCTGTAATTATGCCTGCAGATATGGCTACAATATAGGACACTTTATCTGCCTGCATCTGTTGCAGAAGTCAATGTTCATCAGCACATATGTATTCTTCTAGCTGGCTTATGCAAACACGGTGCAAGATGAGTACTACTGCAAAAGAGCACATCAGAAAACCTTGTCCAGCCCTTCACTCTGACAGCAAACCTGGAACAAGTGCTGTGGTCTCCCCTCACCTTTCACTTTCAGGTGAAACTTAGCCAAAGATGCTCCAGGTGCCACATGAATATCATGAAGCTCATCGAGGATCTGAGGCAATTGCTCCTCTTCAGTGGTAGACTCCTCCTGTTCTCGGCTACGAAGAGATTAGAAAGAAAAAAGTCACCAAGACAGCAAAGAGTTAAGGAAATCAGAATCATCTATCTTAGGATAAATCATTCTGTGCGTTTTATCATCATGACAGTACATTCAGTACTATATGTCATTAAAAGTAGCAGAGAAATCCCCAGGCTAGCCCGAAAGCAGCACGGCAAATTAGCCCATGATAAATGTCCAGCTGTAGTAGTTACCGTAACTGGAATCTCAGCCGGTCTGGCTGTCCCTTTACTACAATAAACTGGTGCTGCCAGGTATAACAAAAACAGACTCAATATTTCTACACAGAAAGTAACATTAAAGAACTATATTGATCTTATCAAGTTAGAAAGAGCTACAGTTAGATTTACCTTGAAACATACTCTTTGGCACTGTAGTAGGAGGATGTCTCTGTTGCATCTGCTGCTGTCTCATAGTCAGTGCTGGTCACTATTAAATAGAAAATGAGACTTTTATATAAGCTGCAGTTTGAAACTATTTCATCCTATAATACAGTAATCAGAGCTAACAGTTTCCAAATTCAGAGGAATAATTTTGTCTCTCTTATTAAAAAGCTGTTATTTCACCTACACAACCACTGCACCATGGTGGTCTTTCCAATCAAAAGGTAGCTAGCTATCGCTCCTTTCAAGATCCAACAAGGATGCTTCAGGAGAGAGTCAGAAGGGCTTCCTATGGGCAGAATTCAGGCCTTCTGTGTTATGTTTCTGGTGCTCACAACATCAGAGCAATCCCAATGAACTGGGTATGGTCTACAGTATAGCACTTCTCTGACCTTTAGGAGCAACTGCGCGCTGCTCTGCAACTGATTAGCTCGTTGATACTAGTGACATCCAGGTTTTCCTTAAAATTAACACTTGTACCATTAATATCACAGACTCATAGAATGGTTTAGGTTGGAAGGGACCGCTGGAGATCATCTAGTCCAACCCCCCTGCTCAAGCAGGGTCATCTAGAGCGTATTTCCCAGCATCACATCCAGATGGGTTTTGAATATCTCCAGAGAAGGAGACTCCACCACCTCTCCGGGCAACCTATGCCAGTGCTCTGTCACCCTCACAGGGAAAAAGTTTCTTCTCATGTTCAGATGGAACTTCCTGTGGTTCAGTTTCTGCCCATTGCCTCTTGTCCTGTCACGGGCACCACGGAGAAGAGGCTGGCCTCATCCTCTTGACACTCTCTCTTCAGATACTTGTACACATGGATGAGATCACCTCCCAGCCTTCTCTTCCCCAGGCTAAACAGGCCCAGCTCTCTCAACCTTTCTTCAGAGGAGAGATGCTCCAGTCCCCTCACCACCTTTGTAGCCCTCCGCTGGACTCTCTCCAGGAGTGCCATGTCTCTCTTGGACTGGGGAGCCCAGAACTGGACACACT